AGTGCTACGTCCTTAGATACCACTAAGGCATACAAGAGTTTCAGAAAAAATACCATAGTTTCTTCTTTCAAGATTTCGTTGAATTCAAGATTTGGTCGTAGAAGACGTCCTATGAATCCGATTACACTCAAAGGCACTTGATGGGATACTATCCAGTCTTTATGGCCATAAAATGTTGGTATATATGATGTTGATAGATGCTAAGGTCTGGCGGTATATAATCTGTAAATCAGGGAAGTAAGTTTGATCTAGTCACTATCACGAAGCAGTTACGATCTGGCAATGTAATCCGTACGTTAAGGAAGTGGATGTGTTGATCTAGTTTTTGCTTTTTCATCCCGGAAGCAATTACTTAAGAATTTCTCATCAATTTCTGTTTCTGTCCGTCGCGGATAATCTTTGATGTGAATCATATTCAAATCTTCCCATAAGTTATTCGAACAAGCCGTCAAAGGTGGGAGGCGGCATTTTCCAGGGCAGTTGTAAACGACTTAGATTAGGCTCACAAATGAACGTTTCCTAGTTTTCTATGCTACGAACAGGCCTTGTCATGAAGAACACAATGACCAGTGAAGGTGAAGCGGGATTTTTGCGATGACGTGTGATGAGCGGCAGGCACCAAAAAACGAGGAAATGAATTTACTCCTAGGATTGACGTAGAGTACCTGTCGTTGTGCCTGACGCACCTCCACAATGAATTTCGAAAACGAGATTCGCACTGTGATCGAAGAAGAGAGGGCTAATATCATGCCATTTCTTCGGCTGAGATCTAGGGAAACTTATCCGGAGATTGCTCATTACGAGACTGGTCCTTTGTCAAGTGCTATGGTGTTATGCAACAGCCTGCAGTTATCTTTACCTAACGGACCTAGAATACTGACAAGATAACTGCTTGAAAAAGACTTTTTTCAATACTTTCGATTTTGTTGGCATATCGATATGGCCCATGTTCTTCCGTGTTATAAGGGGCGTTTGGATTTTGTCTTGAATTTCAAGAAAAAAAGTCTTGATTGCGGAAACATTTGGACTTTCAACGAAAGTCGCTTTTGTGTGTTCTCAAAAGGTGCTCTATTGCGGAGGTGCAAGTTCGGAAAATGGTCGTAGGGTTCATGTACCACTGTCGTGACGTGACTTGGAGATGCGCAAGGGTTCAACTAAATCAATCGAGTAAAAGGCCAAAAGTACAATGTACATCGAAAGTGCGGCACGATATTGTTAGAATGTACCACGCCATGGTCAAAGTTTCTCATTTTTTGTGTCTTTATCGTAATATTGGTAATTTGTACCTGTAGTTGATATCAATACAGATCACGCTTGTCTGTGGATTTCTCGCAAGCTTGGTTTATTTCGCTTACAATGAAGATTTCTTTTTTGAAAACGTACCGCATATAGGCGCTCTTTCTCTTTCCAAAACGCATGTAGGCTGACTTGCGTTTTTCCATATCTAGGGTATCCTCATCTGCAACTTCCGATCTTTTTCCGAACCTGAGAATAAAAATTAGTTTGAATGTGCTGTTGAGCACTTGCTAGATTAGAACAAGTTGGAAAAGTTCACACAAGACAACTAACATATTGGGAGAAAGACCAAAATTTGTTTGTTTATACGAAGTTCTGTGGACATATGCTACATGCTACGTTACTATTCATGCTGAAACACTTTAAAGTATGAAATACATCTTATTTAGAAAGTAGGTTCTTCAAGTCAAGTATTTTTCATTGGCTTTGAACAAGTTACAGGAAGTAGAGTCCCATATTGTCTTGTATTGTTAGGATGCACAAATATAGCTTTGCTTATTTCGCTGGCATATCTTACCTCATGTAGGCGCTCTTCCTTTTCTCCAGTGATAATTGATCAGTGAGCTCTGGATCCGACCTGCCAAAACGCATGTACGCTGATTTACGTTTCTCCATTTCTGTAATTTCGTAATCAGGAATCTTATGCATGTCTCCAGCGGTGATTCAGTCACACAACTAAGCTTTTTTTTGTTCGGCAAAATCTTCCTTATTCATTGCGTTCGTCTCAAAGAGCTGTTCAGGATCTTTTGATTGCGAATACTTTCGGACTAAAAGTTTCCTCCAATTTGTGAGTAGTGCAAAAATAATGATCAAAACTCATGCGAATGGTTAATATCTCTGTCTCTAGACCTTTCTTCACTTTGAAAGCAGTGAAACATCAAAATATGGGTTTCTTCGGCAAGTGGTCTGTGGTAAATTGCAAAACATGCTTTTAGTCCTCCAATAAAATTTTGATATGACATCTTTACATGGACAGACCTGAGAACTGGTCATCCGGCTGGAATGCGTACACGACGGCGAACGTGAGAAGAAAAGCAGCCAAGACCGTTCGATTCATATCCAAGCTGAAATAGAGGAAGCAGTCCAAGTTCTTTTGAAGATGAAAATTGGGCGTAGATAAATATTGTAGAGAAATCATTCCTACTACTTATCTGAGGAATTCGGAAAGAGGATGGAGAAGGATATGAATTAATGTTGAAATTAGAGAAGAATAAGAACGATCGTCGGAACCTACAGTAAAATGACATTGGAAGAAGTATTGAAATCATAAAGGTATGAGAAAACGACTTGTTTCATCTCTAGCTGATGCAATGCATTATTTCTATGTTATATAAGGAACTAAAACAGGCACTATCGAAAGAAAGAACGGTGAATAGATTTTTTGAGCAATTCCGTGGAAAGCTCAGCCAGTTGTGCTGGCGTTGGTGCCCAAATAGCTGACATAATGACCATGCAGTAAGTTTTCTTTTGTTTAGTCTGAATTCAGCTTGCTGTAGCACTAGTACAAGTGTTCAACTACCACGGAGAGAGATTGCAATGGTCTTGAAATGAACTTGTGAATAGTGTCTTGTGAAGCCCGAGGCACAAAATGAGAGTGTGGATTCATTTTTTGCGACGAATCTAGGAAGCTTGTGTTCACACAATCTCTTTTTTGTTAAGATGTTTTGATGGCTTCTTTAAGTAATCTGTTATCAGTTGATTGCTCTCAAGAAGCTTTCTACATGCACTTGGCTAGGGGGGAACGCATAAGAAGGCATCCTTATCATTGAACCCCCATCCACACTGGATTGTCTCAAAGATTTCTCACTTTGTCGAGACAATGTCGACTAAAAAGCAGGGAAGATCAGATTGTTTCTGAACTTCTGCATGCAACTCTCGCATCACGTTTGTTCCGTGTTTGGAAAAAAAGCGACATTCAAGCTATGTGGTGCCAATTGTTGGAGCTGTGACGTTGCACTAACCACCATAAGTCGAGCGTTTCTTACTTCCGCTCCCTCGAGTCTGAACCGCAAGCATCAGCTTTTTTCAGTCTAAATATAAGATAAATGAGCATTTTCTTGGCATAATTAACGAGCAATTCAACAATCGTTTGCTCCACTGCCATGTTTTCATTAGCATGATGATAATTTACTGGACAATGCATACAAGGACCATATTCTCAGTCTGGGAAAAAGCAGCAATAGTTTTTCGCACAAGCAGAAGCAGATTAATACAAAGTCTATAAGAAGAGCTTCCAGCCAAACTTGTCGAGGCTGGGACTGATCATCTTAATGATGCTTGAGAGTTTGGGATTTTGGAGCAGGAATTACAATAACTTTTCTCACAAAATTCTCGTTAAGTCTCACAATGACACTAGCGCGTTTTGAAGAAGTACGCTATCTGAGCAAGAAAGATGTTCTGTTATGTGCAAGCTCGATAGAACTTCTTGGATTCTTGACATTCTGAAGTAAACGTTCGTAAATTATGAAATTGTCTTCTCTCCAACATTCAATGGAGAGAAGTAACATCGTTTTGAAAGCGCTTGAAACTATTAACATATTCCAGATACGAGATTACAAAATAATTGATTTCAACACCACTCTACTTGAGCAGATATGCTCAATCTGATAAGTAGCGTCATAAACATGACAAGCATCTGACGAACATTTGGAATTGCAAAGAATGTAACAAAGTCGAAAGCAAGTGGCTTGCGTTAGAGTTAATGCTGATATCTAGCATTTAATCCTGATAATGTGATTCGAATAAATGAGATACTTTACCAAAATCGAGATTCGAACATGATTTACAGTGCATAAACAGTTTTGTGCCACCAAATGCTACCAAATGCACGACGATGATTGAAATAAAAGTATGAACCGTGAAAAGATTATGCAACGAAAGTCTGCTTTATGATTATAGGTGCTCCCGCGCAACCTTGGAGCACCCTGAGTTTGGAAACAAACATAATTTTCATCTTTTCTTACATGATTTTATAAAAATTCTTAATTAACTCTACAATTGTACATAGTTGTGTTCTCTACTTCAAGCTTTACATGTAAGTACCCACCTTGAATCAAGTTTTGTCCCTTTGCTTTGCTATCTTAATTTTATTGCCTTTCTCTGCTCTATCTGATCTTTCTCGCTTTCTCCACAAATCCACTCATCCGCTGCTACAGGGGTGCTTCTACAGTTACTCACCACAAGTGGTTTTTTTGTGTTCTACGTCGAGAAG